GCACAACTTCTTCAACCAAGCGGAGCACTTCTGCAGGTAACAAAGAATCCAGTTCTACTAGAGAAAGACTACGTGAACGTACCCGACTAAACCAGAGCAAAAAACTACCTTCTGCAGGTCAGGGAGCTAACGATGTGGCATTGGCTAAACGTTCCCGCAGTCGCACTGCTATGGAATGTGATGTTCGCATGAGCAAGTCTAAATCGGACAATCAGATCAGTGACAAAGCTGCTTTAGAAGCTAAAGTGAAAGATCTTCTCACACTGGCAAAAACTAAAGATGTGGAAATTTTACATTTGAGAAATGAACTCCGAGACATGCGTGCTCAACTGGGCATTAATGAAGATCATTCTGAGGGTGATGAAAAGTCTGAGGAGAAGGAAACCATTATTGCTCACCAGCCAACTGATGTGGAGTCTACTTTATTGCAGTTGCAAGAACAAAATACTGCCATCCGTGAAGAACTCAACCAGTTGAAAAATGAAAACAGAATGTTAAAGGACAGGTTGAATGCACTGGGCTTTTCCCTAGAACAGAGGTTAGACAATTCTGAAAAACTGTTTGGCTATCAGTCCCTGAGCCCAGAAATTGCCCCCGGTAGCCAAAGTGATGGAGGAGGAACTCTGACTTCTTCAGTGGAAGGCTCTGCACCTGGGTCAGTGGAGGATCTCTTGAGTCAGGATGAAAATACACTCATGGACCATCAGCACAGTAACTCTATGGACAACCTAGACAGTGAGTGCAGTGAGGTTTATCAGCCTCTTACCTCGAGTGATGATGCCCTCGATGCACCATCATCTTCAGAGTCAGAGGGCATTCCAAGCATGGAGCGCTCTCGTAAAGGGAGCAGTGGGAATGCGAGTGAAGTGTCTGTTGCTTGCTTAACAGAAAGAATACACCAGATGGAAGAGAACCAGCACAGTACGAGTGAGGAACTTCAGGCAACTCTGCAGGAACTGGCTGATTTACAGCAGATTACCCAAGAGCTGAATAGTGAAAATGAAAGGCTTGGGGAGGAGAAAGTCATTCTTATGGAGTCCTTGTGTCAGCAAAGTGATAAGTTGGAACACTTTAGCCGACAGATTGAATATTTCCGTTCCCTTCTAGATGAGCATCATATTTCTTATGTTATAGATGAAGATGTAAAAAGTGGATGCTACATGGAATTAGAGCAACGTTACATGGACTTAGCTGAGAATGCCCGTTTTGAGCGAGAGCAGCTTCTGGGTGTCCAGCAGCATTTGAGCAATACTTTAAAAATGGCAGAACAAGACAATAAGGAAGCTCAAGAAATGATAGGTGCACTCAAAGAACGTAGTCACCACATGGAGCGAATTATTGAGTCTGAGCAGAAGGGCAAAGCAGCCCTGGCAGCCACCTTAGAGGAGTACAAAGCCACAGTGTCCAGTGACCAGATAGAGATGAATCGCCTGAAGGCCCAGCTGGAGAATGAAAAGCAGAAGGTGTCTGAACTATATTCTATCCATAACTCTGGAGACAAATCTGATATTCAGGACCTCTTGGAGAGTGTTAGGCTGGACAAAGAAAAGGCAGAGACTTTGGCTAGTAGCCTGCAGGAAGATCTGGCTCACACCCGAAATGATGCCAATCGATTACAAGACACCATTGCCAAGGTA